TGTAGTTGTAGTTATTATAGTAGTAGTAGTTAGTAGTTGTGTGACAGTAGTGCTATAAGATAGTGTAGTAGTAGTAGTTAGTAGTAACGTAGTTGTGTAAGTAGTAGTAATCTAGTGTAGTAGCAGGCTGAGGTAAAACTGGTATTGTAGTAGTAAGAGTAGTGGGGTTATTTGTGTATTGTTCATGTCTCGATCTTTCGCCTTTTTGTTCTTCCACTTTACTGATAATCTTTTAAAATCGTAGAAATAACCTTTTACAATTTGAAAAAACGACAATACCAACTATTTCAACTAAAATATGTTGGTTCTCCCATTACATCAAATATAACTTCTCTACTTTTACGAATTTTAAAATTAAATGTTGTTTTAAAAATTTTGAATACAGTAATTAAAAAACTTTTTGATTAAAAATTCCCCTCAAAAAAAGGTTGGTATCGGCTGTGTCTATAGATTCCCCATAAGCAATGTGGATAAAGATTTATAAGATCTAACTTAATATTAAGGTAAAACACTAAGATTACAACAGGATAAATATAACATTCAGAATTGGAAAGAGTCTAAATTGCATTGTATATTCTTTGATTTGAATTTTTAACCATCTAATTGACTTTCAAAAAAGGCCCAAAAGTTGTATCAAAGACCAATGGTTGAGAGAAATAAAAAGTAGTAATCAGTCTTCTTAAAAATAACTTTCAAAATTAATGGAAATAATTAGTGTAGGATTATAAATTGACCATTTATAATTAGTAATAATTTAAGGGAACATTTTAGATATACTTTGACATGTTAAAATCTTAAACTTAGTCAGAATATAAGTTATGTCTCGAACCAGGTCCGGACCACCTCACCCCATTCATTAAAAAAGGTTCAGGTTTGTCATGTTTGCCCCTAATGTTTATCTCGGCTAAAGTTTTAACCTTAAGTTTCTCCTTAGCTATTCTTTTTATTTTCTCATAGTTCCTTGACATGTGAGAAAATCAGAAAGAGCTTGAATGTTCACTTTACTTTTGACAGTGGCTGTTCCTGAATCTTGCGATTTAACTTGTATACTGTGATTCTTATTGGCCATATATGTCGTGCCAGATAAGCCAACCGGCACGTATTTATGACAAGTTTAGTTTACCTCTAATGATTTATCGTAATTTCTGTTAAGAAACACTGTTGCAATCATATTTTAAATATTCAGATGGTCCATTTGGTCAAACTTTATCATTATTTTTTTCCTTTTCCAATTTCATGTACTGTCTTTATTTTAAGGTTGAAGTTGAAAATTTTTTATTTAAACACCAAAAGCTGCTTCAGAGTAGAAAACTGTAGATTCTCCCGTTTTTCATTCATTAACAAAAATTCCGCCTATCTGGTTAACGAAATAAAATTACAAACAATGCGGTACATAAATTAGTACTTATTTTTTATAGGATCTGTAATTTACATTAATGTGGATTAACCCCTTTTTTCATAATGTTCTGAATTATCTTTGGCAACAATTAGTAAGTTTTGACTGCAAAGTGGACACCACAGTTTACAATTTAGTCAGAAGTATTGTTTCATTGTATTCCCTTAATATATACTATACCACTGTATTCCCTTTATGTACATTATAATCATTGTATTCCTCCGATATAATTTGTATAATTATTTTCCCTTAATATAATTCGGTCCACACTTTAATGGTTTACATTAGACAATTTTAGTTTTGTTTGTAACTATAGAGAATTTATTGCCTTAAGAAATACAGAACCTTCGATGTAATTCTTTCTCTCTGGCAACACAAGGATAAACTGCTTTCCTATTTTTCTTTTCTTTTTAACACATCGGCCGATTCCCACCAAGGCAGGTGGCCCACCAAGCAGGGTGCCACCAAAGGCCACAGCGGTGGCCAATACCGAACAGGCAGGGTGGAACCCACCAAGGCAGGGGTGCGCCCACCAATGGCAGGGCTGCCACCAAGGCAGGGTGGCCCACCAAGGGCAGGGTGGACCCACCAATCGGCAGGGTGGACACCAAGGCAGGGATGGCCCACCATGGCTGGTGGCCCACCAAGGCAGGGTGGCACCAAGGCTGGGTGGCCCACCAAGGCAGGCGTGGCCAAACCAAGAGCAGGGAGGTGGCCAGAAAAAAATAACAAGGCAGGCGTGGCCACAAGCGCAGTGGTGGCCCAACCAAGGGCAGGGTGGCCACCAAGGCAGGGTGGCCACCAAGGCAGCGGTGGCCCCAAGGCAGGGTGGCCAACCTTGGCAGGGTGGCCAACACAAGGCCCTCAGGTTGGCCAACCAAGAAGGGTGGCCCGGAAAAAGAATAAACTTTCATATTCAATTCCATCACTGTCTTGAAAGAGGGGAGCTTTAACAGACTACAGTTAAACTGCAACTCTAAAAACCCATTCCTTTCAGTAGTGCAGACACTGTACTTCCATCTCTAGGGACTCAAGTCCGGACTGCCAAGTTTCTGAATCCCTTCCATAAATTGTTACTTTTGCTCCACCTCCAACTGACTCTCGTCAAGTTTAAATACCATGAGATCTCTTAATGTATACACACTTATGATGATCCACACTACTTATTATGATACACTTTTCACATCCGACCCTTACTTTTTAAATCACATAATCTCTGAGTTTATATTTATAGTTCTCTTCACTCTCCAAACTGATCCCCTCCAAACATCATTGTACCACTTCGCTTAGCTCTATCTCCTCAGATTTCCTCACGTAATCAACATTAAAACTCACCATACCACCCTTATCTTTCGTTCTGTTAGGGGGCCAGGGCATCCTACTTCTTTTCATTTCATAACACATTAGCAATCATTTTTCTTATCATTCCGCACTTTACATCCACGTAACATTCAAACATCCCAGTTTTTTAGCTTTTTCTTTTCACTTTATTTTGTAGTTTATACGGAGAAGGGCTCGCTACTAGCTTATCTGCTCCGGCATTTTGTACGAATCCTACGACAACGCCTTTTGCTTACGGAGGAAGAATTTTGTTCCACTTCCATGGAGATAAGCAGAAATAAACAAGAGAAAGAACATGAAAACCAAACCGAAAGAAAACCCAGAGGGGAAAGTTTATTATGTTGTTGTAGTGTGACCAATTACAGGCTTATGTTTCACACTCATTTTTAGATTTACTTTTATAATAATTTTAATTCTAATATCTAATGATTATCTGAAAAATGTAGTTGCCATATCCATAAGATACTTCAGTTATCGAGGAAAGGTATCCAGTGTGTTCACTATAAACCGTTAATGTATGTATTAGAAAAAACTTTGCGAACCTTGTCTGCCTCAGAATTATATCTGAGTTAACCAGGACCTTGGCCACGCTGGGAGGCAGTGGTTCGTCTTTAAGATCCACCCACCCACTACTGTCGTTTTTGATGCTTTCCCCAGGGTTCATTGCTGTCCAGAGTCATCTGTGTCCCACTCAGATATTCTCCCTTCCCTCACTTCCCCAAGGCTCTGCCTCAGCATACCTGTATCTCGTCTTTCCACAGGTCCATGTGTACTAGGAGTCCATCGGTCCGCCTTTCAGATTTTCTCCCTTCCCCACTTCCCATGGTTATACTCACCTTTCCCCAGAGTCATGTGTACTAGGAATCCATTCCGTGGGCCCAGGATGTCTCCCTTCCCCTCACTTCCCTTAGGATATCTTCCAGTCTCAGCCCTTCCCAGGTATGTATCCCGAAGTCAGCTGAGCCACCCTCAGTGATCTAGCTAGAGGAGAACGAGGCATCCTTGTCTAGCTGGATAGGTTAGAGAATGTCCAGGTGGGTGGAATTACTGGAGGTGTCACACACAGAAAATGCGTCCAGAAATTACACACACATGACAGCTGGAACAGTAGGGCAGCCAGACGCAGCCAGAAGCTACCGTCCAGTTATCCCACCACCAAGGTTGGCCACTCAGTGAAAATTATGGGAGTTATATTTATGTCATACAATTCTTCAACATTATAGGTAAGTTCTTTGTTGTAATTTAATAAGCAGCTTAGGATGGCTATTTGTGAATGTTTTATTGTGTGTTGATGAGTGTTGGTGTGTTAATGCTTTCAATCTCCACCACACATGGAATAAGTATATAAACTTAATAATTTTGATTTGGTTATTTCATGTTATGTATTTGCTTAAACATCAGTTACAAGAGCCGCGCACAATGGAAATAAAGTCACTTTATATGGCTTTTTTGACACTTAGTCACAGTTTGTGACTTTGTTCAATGGTCCAAGTCGGGCCGAAACGTCGTCGTAAGTACATATCATTATCTCCTTTTATGTGCGGGTTATTTGTGTATCGTTTCAGTCACAGGTAATTGTGCCTTTTTGTTATTTTTGCGGTTATCTGGGTAATTTACATATTCGTTAATATGTATGCTAGATTGTGTAAAGTGTTTTTAACATGTACTTGTACCTAAGTAAACTTCCTATAACTTACACATTCACTTGTTTTACACTCAGTGGCATTCTTGTAAACCGAAGCTTGTTGGTTCACCATAATTACTACGCTCATAAAACTGCCTCACATGAGCACCACTCACACACGCACACACAACACCACACAACACACGCACACCAACACACACCACCACACACACACACACACACAATACACACACACTCACACATACACACACACACACAAAACACACACACTACACAATACACACTCCACACACACAGGCGGGGCCAGGAGCTAAGACTCGACCCCTGCAAACACAATATAGGTGAGTACACACACACAAACAAACTCACACACCAAACACACACACACACACACATACACACACACACACACACACACAACACACACACACTCACACACACACTCACACCACACACACACCACCACAACACACAACACGCGGCATCGCACCACAACACACACACACAACACACACAACCACCACACTCACACAACACACACACACAGAAGATCGCAGGATGTTCCAGAGAATTGGACACTGTAACCAGGGGACACACGCTTGGAAGCTAAAGCACAGGATGGAATCCAGGGATGATAGGGAAGTATTTCTGCAGCCACAGAGTGTCAGTAAGTGGAATAGGTTGGGAAAGCGATGTAGTGGATAGGCTGGATCCATACATAGCTTTAAGCAGAGGTATGGATAAAGCTCACGGTCAGGGAGAGTGTCCTAGTACGATCAGTGAGAGGGCGGGGCCAGGAGCTCGGACTTCGACCCCCGCAAATCAATTAGGTGAGTACAACTAGGTGGTACACACACACACACACTCCACACACACACACACACACACAACAACTCAACCCACTACACAAACACACTAACACACACTCACACACACCACACCACACACACACACATACACACTCACATCCACACACACGCACACACACACACACACGTGGGGTGTTGCCTCGGGTCGGGGCGGTGGGAGACCACGTGGCACCCCCAATCTACATACCATTTCAGTTTATCTCTGGTGGGTGGCCATTGCTGGTTATGGCAATCAGCCCCGTCTGCTCTGCAGCAGGACTCTCCTGCTGTGTCCAAACCTCAAAAACTTCTCTCTGCTGCTCACACACAGCATTGCTCCACTATTCCTTCAAAGGAATTGTGGATCCAAGGAAGACCTGCAGAAAACTTCAGGTTTTAAATCTACAAGGTTGTGAGATGATTGATGATCTTGCCTTAGAGTACTTGGCACAGTGTGCTAGGTCATCTCAGTGCCCTGAGGGTAATGTATTAAATTTTCAACATCAGTAACTTTCAGTGAGTGTCTTGAAGTGCCTGAAGATAAATCAATTTTTGTGATGGATATGGTAAGGAGTGTGGACAGTGATGGGGGACCAGGAAGTGTACCGGTTTTGTAAGTATTATAATTGTTGGTGTAGGCACGTGGACAGTCTCCCACTGTCTAATGTAGAGTCTGACCTCTTATGGAATAACAGCTACTCTACAGGTAATCCATGTGAAAATAACCTTTACTCTGTAGATACTCCATGCCAAAATTCAAAGGAGCAGATTAATGTTAATAGAGTTAAAGGAGTAAATTCAAAGCATCTTACTAAAGACTATTCTCAGAGCAGTGACTACTCTCTAAGTTCACAAACAACAACAAAGTCTAATTTTCCATATCCTCAGTTGGAGAGGGATATCGAGGAGATCTGTTGCTATCCTAAGAATTCTGCTTCTTTGGGTGTTGTACCATCAGGGTTGTATTGTAGGAAACAGGCCTATCCACCTTCCAGGCTCACTCATACTGTTAACCCCATGCCAAGTAATTGTTCACACCATATGCAACTTGTAAGTCTCAATCTCAGTGGCTGCTGGCGAGTCACAGACGAAGGTCTCCTGGCTATGCTGTATGCCAGAATCCTTGATAATTTAAGAAATGTTGATGTTAGTGGGTGTTATCAACTGACAGGTGGAGGACTGGAAATCTTTGTTAGTGCATGTCCTACTCTCCAGCCTGAAAACCTTTGGTATTGTGACAACATAGAGGATGGCCCTTACCCCACACAGGCAAATGGTTGTGCTAATCTGTGTAATCCAGTGAGAGTGTGCTGCCGCAGTGGCAAGTAAGTTCTAGATAGCATTATCTTGAATGTCACAACTTTATATTGCTGGTGATATTTTACAAGGTTTATTTTTCACACACATGTAGTTGTAGTGTTGTAATAACATTTTTTATATATAAGATACTTCTTGGGGCCACAGTGGGAGTAGTAGGCCATGCACAGCATTTACAGTCAAATTGCATAGTATTAACCATCATTCTTGGCACGAAGTTTGGAAGATTTATCTTTACTTATCAGTATAATATGTGTTTACCACTGGTACAAACAAGTCACACACGAGACAACATTGAAAAACTGCATCTCTTTCTGGGAGTTAGGGGTAATAAATTCTTGGATTTGTAACATTGCTGTTCCATTTGAAGGCCATTTGCTGTATATACAACAGAACTCCAGCCAATAACAGCTTTATTCTTAGTGAAATATATTAATTTTACATGATTAGAGTGCAGTTAAGAGAATATGATAAGACTTGAGATCAAATTTGGATATTCAGAAAAAATGAAATGCTATTGTCACCTTTCAATGACTCTGAATATATACTAAAAGATAAGGATTTGACTTTTTTTTAAACAAAGGGTTCCTTTAACCCCAAAA